CAACAAAATGCGATGCGAAATATTTATTCGATTTGGATACCGAAAACGATTTGTTAGAATTGACAAAAAATCATGGCGTCATTCCACCGAGATCGAAAATAAATATAAAAATAATATTTAAACCTACAGAACGTGGTATTTATTACAAACAGATTTACGGTCTCATACAATATCACGTAAATATGATTAAATATTAATTCCACGTGTTTTTTTTTTTTTAAATTCCACGTGTGGAATCTTTTTTTAATTTAAACGTGATATCGTTTTGTTTTGATATTATTATTTTATTTTTAGAAACCGATAGTTTTAAATATTTTGGGAATCAATAAACCGAAACAGCATTTAAATTTAAAATCTATTCGTTTTGAATTTTCCACAAAACAAATATGTGAAAACACTTACGAAAATTATTTTGAAAAACTTAAAAATAGTAAAATTCCAGAAAGGAAATTATTACTTTATCAAAAATGTTTGAAAGAATATGCTAAATGTCAAGATAAACTCGATGTTAGTTTGTTTGTTGCGTTTGTATTCACGTCAATTCCATAAAAAAATTTTTTTTCCCCGTGAAAATTGTTTTTCCTTCTGCTTTCCAAAACCTAAAACGAAAAAAAAAAATGTAAATTAATTTTTTTTCCCAAAGGAATCAGAAGAAAATTGTGAAAATTTATTTCCGGAAACTATCAATGAAGTAGTTTACGCATCCGATGAAGTTTTTTTAACGAATCATTTTATAAATATAAAAAATTTAACGGAAATGAAAAAAGCAATCACTCTAGTTAATTTATCTAAAATTCAACATTATTATTATCAATGGTCACGTGGTAAAATTAAAAAAAAAAGAAAATTTCTCGTAGATTTTTATAAATAAATTTAATAAAAAAATATTTTATTTTTTTAAGACGTAAATAACGAATTTAAAATAGAACCGACGAAAGGGATTTTGTTACCGGAAACAAATGTTGATTTTACAATACATTTCACACCTTTAACTTCCGATAAATTGCATCACGTGGAAATGGACGTAAGAATTTTCCGATACAGCGATTGGAGCGATGAAAATAATAAAAATGATAAAATTTATCTTCCTATGACGACAACCGTTAAAATTATCGGTAACTTCTCGAACAATAATTAATTATTTCTTATTTGCATCCTTTTAAAAATTTTAAATTGATCCATCAGGACATTCTTTTCCTTCTGGTACTTATGGTTGGATTCCTCAGTGTACAGTATTTCCAAAATGTATTAATTTACGTCCTTGCACTCCCGGTGAAATCGCTTACGGTTCAGTAATGATCGAAAGAAATGGTCATCTTCCGGTTTCATTTGTTATAAAAACGTCTAAGAATACGTATGCTTGATGACTCTAATCAATTTTTTTTTGACTTTAAATGGTAAGAAAAAGAAATTTCTTCGATTTTTCACGCAGAAGTTATTCCGTTCAACCCATGCTTGGATGCATAATCGAAGATTATCAATTACTCATGATACGTTTCAATGGTGAAACGGAAAAAGGAATCTACGAAGAAAAAATAAAAATTATTTATAACAATTTAGAAACGGATTGTACTATAATAACATTAAAAACGATCGTCGAAGTACCTCAATTAATTTTTGGTGATAACAATTGTTACACGTTTAAATGCACTTTTCCAGGATCGAAAACGGAAGAAATAATTCCAATTGAAAATCCTACAAATCTTTATTTAAAGTATTATTATTATTATTATTTTATTTTGAATCACGTATCTGCATAATCCTTTATTTAAACTTTAAACGAATGTTTTTAAAGGTATAAAATTATTATTCCCGAAGATATATGTTGGATTGAAATTCCAGAACCTAATGGAGTCGTTGAACCTAATTCTTCCACTACTTTAAAAGCTGTATTCAAACCCGTCGTTGCATGGGAATATTTAGATTATATTGAATGCGTTATTACTTCCATATCCGAATCCGAACATGAAGAAACAATAACATTACAATTAATAGGTTCTTCACAATTTGGATATTTAGTCGTGAGTTGTAATTTTCCTTTTCCTTTTTTTTTTCATTTAAATTTTCAAAATAAATTAAATTCATGTTTGTTGTCAGGCTACGCCGAGTTTTTACGATTTTGGTGAATGTATTTATAAAAAAGAAAAAAGTATTAAAGTACAATTGTTTAACTTTTCACCTGTTATTATTAATTATCAATTGTTTGTGGTTCAAAGCAGAGAATTTCCTGAGAGTGATGCACATAAAAATGTTAAAGTTACTCCTTCGCGAGGATTCGTACCTGGAAAAAGTAGCACAGAAATAGAAGTAAGTTGATTATTGTACAATTAATAAACAATAAATAAACATGATTGTCGCATTGTTTTATTTAGGTTACCGTGATTCCACATCGCAATTATCTTTTTCAATATGCTATTTTATGTCAAATATTGGACAGTCTATCAAAAGATGCTGTTCCGTCGAACAAACCGCGAAGAATGTTTTTTTTTCGCTTCGAAGGTGTTTTACCAACTTTTCAAATTGTTGATTTAAAAATTGAAAATGGCGGAGCTCTTTTCAGTCCACATTGGATATGGAAAATGATGTCAATCAATCGGTATCGGATTCTTTCAATCACCTTAAATAAAAAATCCCTTTTACTAACTCTTTAAAATTTTTTTTTTTTTTTTTTTTTATAAATAATTTATTTTTATTTTACTTACATTCGAGTTATTCATTTTAAAAAAAATTTCAATCACGAAATTAAATTTCGTAGGTTAAATAAAGCGTTGGAATCGTTAGATTCTGAAAAGAAAATTTACTGGAGGTTTCCAGAGGTGAAAATCAATTCTTTTCCCATTGTAATAACAATGTTGGTCGAAGCCAAAAGATTTGGATGCGCTCACTGGAGTTTGGAGAAAAATGTTATTTGTTCTTGTTTCGGTTTTAACGAAAGTGATCCCATTTTACAAAATGAATGCGTTCACACGGACATGATGCATATGATTCCAGCAGAAGGAAACCTGGAAGTGAGTTCTCGGTTAAACCATTTTCAAAAAAATTTTCCATTTATTTTAATTACTATTTACACTACGATTTACTTTAATCAGTAGCCCTCGAATAAAACACTTATTCACATTATTTTAAATTATACAAGCCTGAAAAATTGTCGAGTACAATGGACTATGAATTTACCATTTAATAGAAAAATAATACTTGAAAATGAAATTGTTAGCCTTCCAAATGAAGATGTAAACTTTGCCTCCATGTACTTACATCCAGAATTAAATTTAAAATCGATTTTTATAGGAGATGAAGATCCTCCTCTTCAGGTATTATGGTAGGCTATTATTCGAATCTTGGTTCGGAAGTAAAAATTATCAATAAATAATTTTATTTCAGTTGTTTTGGCTGTATAATAATTCGAATAAACCAGTTTGTTATGCTTTGAATATGACATCGTCGAATCATTTACAATATGACGTTCATAACATTTTCGATTGTTTAAATCCTAACGGAACGATTCCGCCATTTTCGTGCCTACCGCTAGCTTTCCTTTTCAAACCAATCGAAACTAAACCTTACTATGTAAAAAAAAAAAAAAAAAAAAAACAATTATTTTTGTTAGAAATATGGAGTTAGTGCATTATAAAAACATTTTTTATTTTTAATAGGCCGAATATAGTTTATGTTTTCAAGATAATGTTTCGACGACGATACGATTGAATGGTGAGGGTGCGGCAAGCATTCAACAAGTTAAAGAATTGACTCCTCAAAAAACGATTCCAAAAAAATCTAATTTACGAAATCAAGAGATACGTTTAGTTATAAACGTTAATTTTTTTAACATACTTTATTTTAGAATATTTTCCGAAGTGAAAAAAATTTTTTTAATCACCAACATATCAACAACTGATGTTTGGGCTTATCATTGGCACGAGTAAGATGTTTTAATTTGGTATACAGTGTAAAAATAATATTTACTAACATAATAATAATATTAGTAATTGATATGAGTGATTTTTTTTTCTTCATAAGCTTCCATGTGAAATCCATAATAACAGCTCAGGTACATCCAAAATCAGGTATTGTTGAACCAGGACAAACAGTACCATTGACATTGATTTTGACAAGTGATTCCAGTCCAACTTTTCTTAGTTTTTCCATTCCTTGTGATATAATTAACTATACAAAATTAAAATATTATGAATCAGTTAATTTTTTTAGAAATTATTTTAATGGAAAAAGTAAAGAATGTTTTACAATAACTGAAAAGGGAACAACATTTGAAGTAATTATAAAAAAAAAATTTTTTTTAACTCTTGATTTTTTTCTTTTTTGAATATATTTGTGTGTGTGTGTGTGTTTTTTTTCAAATGATTTCAGGCACCCAAAGTTGAAATTCCTGATGTGCCTAAATCACATCATTTGTTTTTAACTGTCAATACAAATATCATAAGTAGAGGAAACATTGATCAAAAATTACTACTAGCTCAACAATTAACATTAAAATCCGGTGAAGAATTTATTGAAAATTTTGATAACATTCCAATCATACCTGAACCTGAATGTATTCCACAAATTAAACTTACCCTAGAAAAAATCTTTTGGTAATTCAATTCATCATGATGTAACCGCATTTGCTTGATTTTGGGATTCTTCTTATTCGCCATCTTAATCATTTTTTTTCTTAAACTTGTAAATAATTTCTTCTTCTTTTTCTTTTTGTATTCGCAGGAAAACGTTAAACAGTGAAATATTTAAAAATCGTATCAGGAATCTGCAAGAGGTAGAAAATTTTAATTATTTACAATATGTTCCAACATCGCAAAGCAAAATAGCTAAAAACTATCAAGAAATCTCATCGAAATTAAATAAAAATTTTATTCAGGGATTTTTAGAAGAAATTCTTAGAAATATTTTAATAAAAAATTTTTTTAACCAATGATATCGTGTTAAATCGTAATTACTTTTTTTCTTTTTTTTGTTGTAAATTTTATCAATCGAAATGAAAAATTATAATATTTAGTCGAATTGATTTTGTCAGCCATTTTTTATTTTATTATAACGTTGATTTCAATTAATTAGTACGAACGCCATTACATACGACTTAAATTTTTTTTTTCGATAGAAAATTAATATCAAACGGTTTGCAAAGTAATAAAAACACAAAAAACTTTTTTTTAAATACAATTAATAAATGATTAATGACTATAAAAAAAAAAAACGTTGAAGGTCTTTTATTAGGTAATTATTTTTAACTTAAGTTTTACTCTTAAAAACAACTTGGTAAAATTTTTTTTTCAACTTTTAATACGTCAAAACGGTTACGTCAGTTTTGCCAATATACGGTAACAGTTACCTAACCTGCACTCGACAAAAAAGTATAATAATAACAAGTAAAAAAAATATAATTAAAAAAAAAAAAAATAATAACTATGAAATGGCACGGTGTTTATTTGTAAATAAAATTATTATTCAAATATTTATTATTATAGTATTAATTAATAAAACTGTTCCATATAAAAAAGGTAAATTGTTTATATATATATATATATATATATATATAAATATATATATATATATATATATATTTATACAATAAATATTTAAATGTTAATTACATTAATTTTTTTTTCTTTTTTATTTTTCTTTTTCTTTTTTAATAAATAAAATAAATTTTAATAAGAATAAAAAAAAAAAAAATTCATTTCAATTGTAATACTGAAAATGAAAATTCAATTTTGGTAATTTTATAATTACCAAACATTTAATAGAATAGAAAAGCATTTGCATTGAAAGTAAAATGAATTATTGATAATAAAAATAATGTAAGTGTTGTATATTTTTTTCTCTTATTTTATCAGTGTATTTAGAAAGTTCAAAACTATGTAGTTTAAGGGATTATGATAATACTTCTGTGGTTTATTTGGAAAAAGAAGAATTATCAGCAAAAGCTCTTGTACAGGGTGATTACTTTGAAAGATGGTCTGGAAAATATCCTTTCTCTTGTACTTTTACAGTAAGGGCACCCCCAAGATATGGTATGTATTATAAATGCATTAAATTAATTATATTGAAATTTGTTTGTTTTATCAAGCCAACCTATTCAATAGTTATGCAGTTGAAATGAAAATGTTTTTTTTTTAGATTGAAAATAATAATTGGAACCTTTTTAACCTTAACCTCTCCTAGTCGAGATTTTTTTTTGACTATATTATCCTCATTCCGATTTTAATGGTAATGTGTTATAACATTCCTACTTAAACATTATTATTAGTTTTTTTTTTATGTGTTACTACCCATTTATAATGTAGATGAATTTTTTATTTTTGACTAATAATTTTTTAAAAATGGTTGTTTTAAATTTAGGTATCTATGCAGTTATTCAAAATTTAAGCTTTCGTAAAAATCCAGTCACTGGACAATGTAAAGATTATGTAGAAATGCATTATTATGAAAGAACCACATTAATATTTTTTAAAACAAACAAAATTAAACAACAATTTTGTGGAAAGATAACACCCAAAGAGAGTTTTTCCGAAACGTCAAACCCATTAGAATTTGATAATATATTTAAAAATTCATCCGTATCTGAAAATGCTTTCATTGCAAATGATGAATTAACAGTCAAAATATACATTGCAAAAGAAAAATTAAAACCAGATGAAAAACTGGAGATACATATAGTTTTCACCGCTTTTAAGTTTGGTTAGTATGTAAAAACAAATTGTATTACTATAAATAATGAAGCTTTTTATACACAAAATTTTTTTTCCCTTTCGAATAGAATGCAGAAGAAGAGAAAAAGCCTTGCAATGCAAACCTTGCGAATGGATATGGGAAAAATTTGCATTGGATAAAATTCAAAACTGCCCCTACACTTCATGCATAGATGAGGATTATTGTAGAAATGTTGACATTAAAAAAGAAATTAAAACAATTGTTAGTTCTGGTACAGGAACTAAGGTACGAAATCATCATCGAAATCAAGGCTTTGAAGTATGTTTAACGAATAAGAATATTAAAAAAAAAAAAAAAAAAAATTTCCTTTTTTTGTTATAGGTTAGCATAGGAGCTGTGGCAACAATAATTTTAGTGCTTTTTATGTTTGCTTGTTGCGTTTGGATAAGTCGTAGAATGCAATTATGGTGTTTTGGACCAATCAGAAATAGACAATCTAGAATGGAAATGAATCAGACAACTCAAAATTCAGGAGGTTTCGAAGAAAATACTTCACCTTATGGTGACATGTTACCTAATTCAACAGCTCCCTCTGCCCCTCCCATATCCGAAGATAAAGACCTTCCACCAAGTTATAGTTCTCTGTTTCCAGAAAAATAATTATTCCTTGGAATACTGTTTCCTTTCCTTTTCCTTTTTTTTTTTTTTTTTACAAAATCAAATTATTTGGTAATAATACAAAATAAATATCACACAATTTTGTTTGTTTTAAGTATTAGTATTAGTATTAACTATTTTATAAGGTTAAGAAAGTAAAAACGAAAAAAAAAAAGCAAACAAACAAAATTTTTTCCAAGACTGCCATAGTGCACAAAAAAAAAAAAAAAAAAAAAAAAAAATTACAGTATTTTTCGAATTGATTTTTTTTTATAAGAAAAAACTTTAATAAAAGTCAATTCTATTTTTTTTTTTCAATTCTTGATTGATCTTTAAGAAATTATGTATTTAAAACAATTATAAGTTTTATAAAGGGCCAATACTTAGTTAAAGTTTTTTTTGTTTTTTTTTTTTTTTTTTTTTGTTTTTCTTATACATTCTATTTTTAAGTTGGGTTTTTTTTTTTTTTTTATGCAAAATGGAACGCCCCAACTTTTATTTGCTTTACTTTTTTTTTTTTTTTTTTTTTTTTTTACAAATAAGAAACTTATATAGAATCTCAATTTTAAAAGTATTTTCTTTTTTTTTCATTTATGTTAGTAGTTTTAGTTTAAAAAAAAAAAAAAAAAAATTTCCTACATTATATAAATTACAATAAATTAAAAATAAACTTACCTTATATTTTTCCAATGGTTGTCTATTAGTTGTTTTTTTAATTTTTGTAATTGATAAAAAATAATTTTTATCCAGGAATTTCGAATAAATGATGAATGGACAACCCACTGTGATAATTCTTGACTGTTTTCATTTTAGTTTGTAAAACCAGTGACGCCTGAAATGAATATAAAAATATAAAATTTTGTCAATAAAATAAAAAAATTGTACAAAATTAATTACTTTAAAAAGATGTTTAGAAAAATAATTTTCTTTTCCTTTTTCCTGTTTCATTTTACTAAAATTTGTTATTTACATACCAGAAAGATTGTTGAATTCAGAAAAAACATTAAAAAAAAAAAGTTAAAATATTAAATTTTCATTAATTCACTGTAAAAACTAATAGTACATATATAAATTATTATTAGTATCATTGTTGTTGTTTGCTCAAAAGTTTATATTTGTTTTATATGAATATCTTAAATAATTATAAAGAGAACATTAAAATTTTGTTAAATTAATTTTAAAAATTTCAGTTTAAAATTTATTATAAGTACATCACGAATAACCATGAACAAATAAAAAAAAAAAAATGTCTGATAATTTTATAATAATAATAATAATAATATTAATAATTTTTATAATATAATGTTATTAAAGTTTAAGTAGTGATTGTTTAGAAAAAATTTTTTTATCTTTTATTTAATAAACTCAAATTATTATTAATATTTTGTATTGATAGTATTAGTTTGTTTTAGATTACTTATATTACTGTTATTGAAATAATAAAATATTAAAAATAAATACATAAATTTTTATTTACATTATGTAAAAATAATTTATAAATTATCTAAAAATGGCCTTTCTAAACCTTTTTTAATTTTTTTATATAATCAATAATTATTTGATTGAATATTTTTTTAACTGTTACAATTAATTGTTAATGATAATGTTTTCAATTTATAATATCATTAAATAATTTAACAATATTATTTTAAACAAATAAATTTTTTATGTAAATAATAATAATAATAATTGTAAGTAATTTGTTTTTAGTTAGCTTTGAATATAATTTTTGTTTTTTTTTTTACGATTTACCTTTATTTATCTTCATGTTTCATGTTGTAAATATATAAAATAAATGAAAATTTTAATTGTTTGTTATTTTTTCGATGATTAAATACATTATAATAATTAATTAAAAACGAGAAATTTTTTTTACACTTTCACAAAAGTAAAATTACTGACGGATTAATGTTTTTTTTTTTTTTTTTTAATAAAATCCGCGGCAATTTTTTAAAAACGCGTTTTTTTACTCTATGACATTAAACCGTTTTTTTATGTCTAGAGTTATTTCAAATAATATCTGTTTTCAATACAAATATAATATCTGGGGTTACAGAAAAAGAAATGCCTAATTTATTTTTAAATAATTACAGCCTTATTAGCTCTTCAGGTAAAAATAGTACATAATTTAAATTTACAATATAATATTATTTATTGCATAAAAGATTTATGACAGTTAAATAATATTAAATTACATTTAATTAATTTATTGATTTGATTGTTGTTTACAATTTTTTTATTTTATATAGATATTATCCCGGATTCAGTGCAGAGTTCAGACGATAATGCTTTTACAAATAAGGCAAAAGAAAATCCCTTATTAAAAGAACCTGGTTTGTAAATTGCTATAATTTTGTTAATTCATATTATAATACTCTTATACTTAAATAACATTACAATAATCAAAAAAATTTTTTTTAATAATTTAAAAATGACAGAACCACATTCTAATTCTAAGGATAATGATTCATTTGATGAAATATCAGGTATGTCACACATTTATTTTTAGTAAATACTTTTGTTTCAATGACAAAAAATCACAAAACATAATCGTACTTTTTACAGAGGATGATGAACTAGTTTTAGATTACTTTAAATACAAACAGGAAGCCAGGTTAGTTGTTTATTCCCTTTTCCCCATTATAATTTTTTCTCATTTTATAGTAAGTAATTAAAAATAATGTTTTAGGTTGCCTTATACCAAAAGTGAAGATGAAGAAATATTAAATTTTATTTTAAAATCATCGAATATTAATAAAACTTCATCGATATCCCTTTGGAAATTTTTGGAACGAAAAAAGGTTTGTTTTTTTTTTGATTTGTTACACATTCTTAAAATAAATAAGTTTTTTTCACCTCTATTTAGTCAAATATGAAATTATGAAGGATTTATATTTTGTTTTTTCATAAGTAATAATTTATTTGGTTTCTTAGAAAAATCCTCCGAGAACATACCAGTCGTTAAAAAACAGATTTTTAAGAAACATCAAACCTCATTTATTCACAACCTACAGACACTTGATTAAAAATAAAAAGACAATGGAAGCCATTTTATCTAAATTTCCAGAATTGAAAAAAGACCTTAAAAGAAAATCTGTTTTAGATGACTTGAAAGTAATTAATCGGTAAGATAAGATTTAGTTTTAAAGCATTCTCTGAATGTTTAGTAACCAAAAGTAAAATCATTAATAATTCGAATATTTTTTTTTAGAAATGCAGTTCTCCCAACAACTAAATCTGAAAATAATATCAACAACATCAATAGCAACAATAATAATAATAGTAGTAATAGTAGTAACAGTAATAATAATAATAGTATTACCAATGCGAATACTAATACTGATAGTAATAGTAATAATAATAATTTATTGAATACGAATTCAGTTGAAGCAAATCAGGATGTAGGATTGAAAGAAGACTCCACAAATAAACACGAACGAATCATAAAAGTTAATAAAAATAACAGCATAACAATAATTTTAAATTGTGAAAAACAAAATAAAAACTCAATAGAATCGAGGAGAAAGAATACATTAACCATTTACGATAAATTTTTAAAATTAAAAGAGGAAAATACAATCGAGCCATGTTTACATTGCGGTAGGAGCGATCCTATTGTTGTCAAATGCGAAATCGAAACATACGATAATGAAAGTGCAGATGGAATTAGCAGCAATACGAACGAAAGCAATGATTCGAGTAACGGTCGAAATGTTGGAAATGGCGAAAAAAGAGAATCGACGAATAAAAATATAATAATAAAAAAAAATTCTCCTAAAAGTCCAAGTCTTCTAGATGGGGAAAACGAGGATGTTAAATATATTTGCACGATAAATAATAACGAAAATAATCGTCGTTTAACAAGGAGTGCATATAGAAAATTAATAACAGGTCAAAGGGATAATTTATCTCCTACCAAAAAGAAAACGAATCAATGAATATGTCACGTGACACTCTCAAATTCCCTAATATTAGTTTTAATTTTAAAAAAATTATTTTATATAATTAATGGTAATACCAAATTATTTAATTATTTGTTAATCTACGAGCATGATTATTTATATATATGTACGATAAAGAACAAAAAAAAGGCAAAAAGCAGTAAAAAAAAAAAATACATAAATAAATAAATAATATATATATATATATATATATACGATTTTGGCCAAAATATTAAATGATATGGAAAATATATATATATATTAAAATATTTTTACTTTAGGTATAAGGTAATAATGTAATTAATTAAATATTTAAATTATACATGAAATATGATGTGAGCCAAACAATTTTAATAATTAAAATAAAATAAATAAGTTCATGAAATTGTAAAAAATATTAAATCGATTTCTTTTTCTGTTTTTTTCTCTACAATCCTATCGTCTTTGTACCTGTCTAACTCTAGCTTATTATTATTATTATTATCATCATTTTATATTTGGTATGATCAAAATGTATTTTAATATATTTAAAATATTTTTTTTTCTTAAAAACTTTGCTTTTTTTTTTTAAATAAGCATTTCTCTAAAAAAAAAATAAACTATTATTATTATTATTATTATTACTGTCATTATTAAAATCTCACCTGTATTATTTTTCGATTAAAAGGTATATTTAATAACAAACAAACAAACAAACAGAAAACAAAAATAAAATTATTTCTTTTTTTTTTTTTTTTTTTTTTTTATTAATAAATAAAGAACAAAAATTGAACGTTTTTTTTTTTGAAAGAGCAAAAAATTACATTTATTATTATTATTATTATTATTATTAAAAGACTTTAACTGCCTATTAAATAGAACTTTTTTTTTCTCCTTTTTATTATTATTATTATTATTATTTTAAAATGCTATCATCGTTAACTAACTATATATATATATTATTTCTTTTTACAATAAAATTCAATTTTAATAAAATTTTCATTACCATCATCATCATCATCGTCATCATCATCATCATCATCATTATTATTATTATCATTATTATCATTTTTAAATGGGATTTTTGCACTTGAAACACTTATTTCTTAGGGAAAAAAAAAAAAAAAAATTTTTTTCTTGTGCAAAAATTCCATTTAACGATAAAAACAATTTTATTATTATTATTATTATTACTTTTTATCGGAAAGATAATTATTTATATATATATATATTTAAATAATTAATAATTATTAATTAATTAATAATAATTTTTAAATAAAGAAATATTAAATTTTTTTAAAAATTATTTACAATTTTTAAACTCTTTTTTTTTTTTTATTATTATTATTTATATCATTATTATTATTATATATATATTTATTAAATATAACATAATATTTATTTATTTATTTATTGGGTTTATTTAATTTTTTAAATAAAATAATTATTTATTATTTATTTAAATCTCAACAAAATTATTATTAAATTTTTTTTTTATTTATTTTTTATATTTTTTATTTTAATAAGAAAAACTAAAAAACGTAACTAATTCACTTTAATTCCGTACGTTCACTCACTCATTCATTCATTCATTCATTCATTCCCACGACATCTTTTCCCTCTCTCTCTCTCTCTCTCTCTCCCTCTACTTAATAATAATAATCAAAAAAAAAAGATATAAACCTTTTGATCATTGTGCGCTGGATTATGATGATTAATTAATTTTTTTATAATAAAACGATAATAATAATAATAATAATAATAATAATAATTAAATATTTATCATTCGTACGGGTTTAACGAAAATTAAACTTGTCGGAGGGGGGGGGGCGGGGAATCGGTAGGGAAAAAAAAACGATTACGTAATGACTTTTACTCCCGATAAAATGTCATTTATTAGTTATTTATTTAAACTAATTGACCGTTGCTTATTATTATTATTATTATTATTATTATTATTATCATCATCACTATGGCTACCTTTGCTACTTCTACCGCTACTACTACTACTACTACTACTACTATTTCATATAATTTATTTTTTTCTAACTAATTTCAAAGGTAGAAATTAAACTAAAAAAGGAAAAAAATGGTGAGGAGGAATATATCGAAATTTCTTTCAAATCTCAAATAATTATTAAAAATAAATAGAATTAAATATTGTCTTTTTCACACGCACGCACTCACGCACTCACGCGTACACCCACACTCACACGCACACAAACAATCCTACACGTGCACACGTAAACACGTATTTATTTTTCGTACTCAATGAACGATGACGTCATCAACACTCATCATCTAATGATAGAAAAATATACGAAGAAACAAACAAACGAACAAACAAAGGAAAAATTCACTTAAATTTTTTTTTTTTTTTTTGTGGTTGTTTGTAGGTTTTTTTTTTTTTTTTTTTATAAGTTAGGTGAGCATACACGAGCCTTCCCTTTTCTAAATAATAATAATAATAATAATAATGATAATAATAATAATAATAACAATAATGAATATAACGTTTGATTTTCCTTTAAAAATTTTTTTTTATACGAATTCGTTTAAAAAATAATTTATGATATTTGTTTTTTAAATGATGTTAAAACTACGACTACTACTACCCCTACCACTACTACCACTACTATTACTACCACCAGTAGTTTTGTTACTATTATTATTATTATTATTATTTGAAATAAAAGTATTAAAATAAAAAATTTACTGTTTGATTTATTTGATAAATTGGCTTTAAATTGCTCAGGTACCTTATAAAATTTTTTTTTTTTGTGTATCCAATTATATAATGTACACACGCACGTGTATGTATATAAGTGCGTGTGTGTAAATGTGGGTGAGTGCGTGTGTGTAAATGTGTGTGAGTATATGAGTGTGAGTGTGAGTATGTGTAAATGTGTGAGTGAGTGTGTGTGTGTGTGTGTGTGTGTGTGTTCGTATGATTTGATATTAAAAGAATAATAATATTTTTTTTTTCCAACCGTGAATTCTTACAAACTTTAATAGTAATAATAATAATAATAAAAGTAATAATAATAATAATAATAATAATAATGATCACACACATTTTTCCAATACAACTTTTTTGTTTTAAACTAAATAAAAAAAAAAAAAAAATTTTGGTTGTTGTTAATCAAAGGCAAGAAAGAAAACGCAGCAACATTTTTTTTTTTACAAAAGGCATTATTATTATTATTATTATTATTATTATTATTATTATTATTACTTATTCTCCTCGATTTAATTTTTCAATTTTGTTTCCCGAATTTCTTTTATCCCGCCTCGTTCCGCCCCCCCACAACTTTTTTTTTTTTAATTTTTAACATTTTTTTATTATTATTTTTTTTTGGTTTTTTCTTTTATTCGAGAGTGCGCCATCTATTCGTCTAGGTGTATGTACAATAAAATTAATAATAATAATAATAATAATAATAATGATAATGATAATAATTCCATATAAAAATAACGAAATTTTTTAAGAATCGATAAAATTTTACAGTGTGTAGGTGAATCACGCTATTGATACTAAAATAAATTATTACACCGAACGATATGGGAGGGGGTAAGGGGGAGGGAGAGGGGAGGGGGAATGCTAATAAAATTATATTTTATGTAATTTTTAAATTCTAATTATTGACTATTTATGTAAACACTAAAAGAAAGAAAAAGAAAGAAAGAAAAAGAAATAAATTTAATGTATGCATGTATACATAATGCAATGTTTGTTGTTTGTTTGCACGCACGCACGCATTCATTTCACGGGTTTGTTTGCTGCATTTCCTCCCCTCCCCATTTAAAAAGTATATATCCATATTATTATTATTATTATTACTCTAACTTGAATCAAAAAAAAATTTTATTTAAAAATTTTCTTTTTTTTTTTTAAGTTTAAGTTTAAATGCATCATAACAATAATTATTACGTAAAACAAACGAACAAACCAAACTCCCACGACAATTTTAATAATAATAATAATAATAATAATAATAAATTGTAAGAGAGAGAGAGAGAGAGAGAGAGAGAGAAAAAAATTAATCGATAATTTTTTTTATAGTCGAAACGAAAATTTTAAAAAAAAAATTAATTAAACAAATTATTAAATTTTTACATGATTTTTTTTATGTACATAATCGACTTTTTATTTATTTATAATCACGATAATTATTATTATTATTATCATTTAATTTAAATAAATTAATAAAAAAACGTTTAAAATCTGGTCTTTTTTTGATTGAATCTAATTAAAATTATTTAACGGCTTGATATATATATATAAGATAGCCGATAAAATAAAAATCTAATAAAAAATCATCACATTTATTTAACTATTTTTTCTTATTTTTATTTAAATTAAATAAATTTCCCGCCAAAAATTTTTGTAATGAAATTTAAATTTATGTAAGTGTAGGTATATATATATATATAAAATATTATTCAAAAATATTTAAAATTAAATTCTACTCAAAAATTCTAATTTTTTTTTTTTTTTTCTTTTTTTTTTTTTGAAAAATAAAAATTTAATAAAAATTCGTACACGCACACGTGTATGTGTGTGTGTTTGATTTTACTTCTTATTCGAAAATTTAGTTATTGCTAATGCCAAATAATTTATTTATAATAATTATTTAGCCTCATTAGATTAAATTAATAATAATAATAATAATAATAATAATAATCAATTTACAAAATTTTTTTCAATTTTCGATACATACGCCATAAATCGTAAAATAAAAACATTTTACATATCTTAAATAATAATAATAATAATAATAATAATAATAATAATAATAATAATAATAATAATAATTTGTTTTCATATTTTTTTATTGACATTATAACAAATTCGAATGGGTTTCTTTCTTTTTTTTTTTTTTTTCTCATAACAAAGACTTGATCCGACTCCTCCTCTTCCCTTCTCTCTCTCCTCCTCCCATATCATACGTTAAAACGATTCGATAATAATAATGATAATAATAAATTTAAAAAAAAATTAAATTGTTTAACTTTAA